TTATAAAAGGTAGGGTACTGCGACTGAGATTAGTATTGTTTTTCCATTCATATGTCATGAGAATAAAATTCTTATAACATTTGTATGCTTACCATTGTATTATAAAATTCTTATATCATTATGAGATTGTCAAATTTTCATGGGTGAATATATGTACTCATACATTAGGTAGTGTGAAGACTTAGCAAGGCTCTAACGTCATAAGCTTGGATTTACATCAACATCATCACATATTACTTTTTATAGATTTTTTATGAGATTGCCAAATTTTCATGGGTGAATATATGTACTCATACATTAGGTAATGCGAAGACTTAGCAAAGCTCTAACGTCATAAGCTTCGATTTACATCCACATCATCAAACATTACTTTTATGGATTTTTTTGAGATTTTCAAATTTTCATGGGTGAATATATGTACTCATACATTAGGTAGTGCGAAGACTTAGCAAGGCTCTAACATCATAAGCTTGGATTTACATCCACATCATCAAATACTTTTAGGTATATTTTTGTGATGGTCTTTGATTGATCAATCATCTTGTAGATACAACCACTGTACTAGCGCCTAACTAATCCCTAAATATAATTTTATTGTTGAAACGTGGTGAATTTTTAGCTTCTGTTCATATGTTGCCTATATTGTTCGCTACAATAAATTTATACTAAATCTTTCACTAAATAAAATTATAATTTAAAATAATATTAAATTTTTTACCACGTGCATTGCACGTGCAATCAACTAGTTATTCTAAAAAATAACAAAGTCTGATAACTCGTAAATTGAAATAGGAATTGGATAAGTTGATAGGTAAGCGAACCCCATCTACTGAAGCTCACTTGACTCTGGGGTGCCTGAAAGCAAGGGTTGATTGTCTGAATTCGCCACTAGTGTGCAAACCAGGACAATCGGAAAGCCTTAGCAAGTGGAAAAATGAAGAAGTGGTTTGTGCTCAAGTAACATGTATCATGAATTCATGACTGGTATAATAATAAGAAAGACTTTATAACTATATCACTTTACTTTCTTTCGTCAAACAAGAAACACACATTTCCAAATTTAGATCATAAAACAGAACCAACAGATAATCAGATAATATAACAACACAAAGGTCGCAAACGAGAGTGCACCTAGATCATTGAGTGTGATGCAAGGGTAGTGTGTGCATCTAGTTATTCTCAGATTTTACTTAATCTTATTTAGAGAAATCTCTCACTGGATAAGGTGTGTTTGTTGTACCTACTGGGAATGTTACTTAGATTATTTCTTTATTTGGTTTATGTGCATAGACTCATCTGGCACTAGCGCTCAAACACAACCCCAAGCCACACATTATCTATAGTCAATAGTCGATAATTTTGTTGAGCCAAAACTTCACAATTCCATGTTATTTTTAGTAGCTATATAACCCGTGATTTTATGCCATTTTTAATCATTTTGACCCACATAAAATGATTTCACAAAGTCCAAAACTCACAAATTCATGAGCTATATCTCACGATTATTTGAATTTTTTAGCCATTTCGAATCATTGACAACTAATTTTGCAGAGTCCAAACTTTACGGTTTCATAGCAACATAGCCCATTATTTTGTCCATTTCTATCATTTCAAAATGTTGCCAAATACTTTCGCCGAGGTAAAAATTTACGATTTTACGGGACATAACTCATGTTCTTTTGCCATTTTTATTCATTTTGACCTGTTAGCAAATAATTTCGTGGAGGCTAAAATTCATAATTTCATTAGTTATAACCCACAATTTTTTATCATTTTTAATCATTTTGACCCATTGACAAATAATTTCGCTAAGGCTAAATTTTAAATTTCAAAAGTTATAACCCAAAGATTTTGGTCTTTGATTTGTTTCGACCCACTATTTTAAAAAAATTCTTCGAAGGCTAAAATTCAAGATTTTATGAGCTATCACATACGATAATTCAAGATTTTATGAGCTATCACATACGATTTTTGGCCTTTTTTAGTTGTTTCGAGCTATTATCAAGTAATTTCACTAAGGGCCAAATTCTCAATTTTATGAACTACAACCCACAAATTTTTATAATTTTTCATTTCACTCATTGGCAAATAATTCATCGGTGGTCAAAATTCATGATTTTGTGAGCTATAACCCATAATTTTTGGTTATTTTTCATTGTTTATAATGATTGTCAAGTAATTTCTCAGTGGCCAAAATTCACAATTTTGTAAGCTATAACCCATGATTTTCGACCATTTTAGTCATTTTGACTTGTTGTCAAATAATTCTATAGAGGCAAAATTTTACAATTTATGTGTTGTAACCCACAATTGTTTGCCATTTTCAGTCAGTTTGACTCGTTGTCAAATAATTTTTCAATGGCTAAAATTCACAATTTCATGAGCTATAACTCATAAAATTTTCCATCTTTAGTCATTTGGACCCAATTGTAATTATTTTGTGGAGGCTAAAATTCATGCTTTTATGAGCTATAATCCACGGGTTTTAGCCATTTTAAGTCGTTTTGATCATAATGACAAACAATTTTGTGGAGAGAAAAATTCATGGCTTCATGAATTATAATCCTTGATTATAATCCATTTTTTATAATTCTGAATCAATATTTAACAATTTTGTGTAATCCAAAGTTTAGGATTTCATAGGCTATATAACCCACCATTTTTAGTCATTTTGACCCACTGAAAAATAATTTTGTTAATGCCAAAATTCATGAATGAGCTATAACCCTTGATTATTGATATTTTTACTCATTTGAATCAGTAGCAAAGAATTTCGTAGAGACAAAAATTCATGATTTCATGAGTAATCACTCATTTTTTTTGTTATTTTTAGTCATTTTGACTTCTTGACAAATAATTTCGCCAATTTGACAATTGGCAAATAACTCGTGATTTTTTTATCATTTTAAGTCATTTTGATCTATTGATTGATAAATAATTTTATTGAGGCTTAAATTCATGATTTTAAGATCTAAAAACCACGCATTTTGGCCTCTTTCGCTTCAACCCACTATTCAAAAAAAATCCTCAGTGGCCAAAATTCACGATATTGTGAGCTATAACCCATAGTATGTGACCATTTTTAGTTGTTTCGAGTCATTGTCAAATAATTTTATGTAAGTAAATATTCACGATGTTCTATGTTATAACCCACGATTCTTGGCCATTTTTAGTACTTTGATTCATTATTAAATAGATTTATGATGGCCAAACTTCACAAGTTTATGTAGCTGTAACTAACAATTTTTTGCCATAGTTAGACATTTCACCCTCTTGGGGAAAATTTCATGGTGGCAAATTCAAGGCCTCATGAGCTATAACACATGTTTGTTCTCGATTTTAGTCATTTAGATCTATGGTCAAATAATTTTGTGAAGGACAAATTTCATGATTTCATTACAATAATCCATTTTTTGTGCTAGCCAAAATTCACAATTTTATGAGTTATAACCAACAATTTTTAGCCGCTTTTAATCATTTTGACCTATTGGTAAACAATTTCGTTGAGGGCACAATTCAAGATTTTATGGGTTATAATTCACAATTATTGGCTAGTTTTATTAGTTTTAAATCAATGGGTAATAATTTTATGGAGCGTAAAGTTCGCGATTTCATGAGCTATATAGCCCATTATTTTTGCCATTTTTAGCTGATTTGACCTACTGGTAAATTTTTTTAGGAATTTTAAAATTTACGAATTCATGAGCTTTAACCCAATATTATTTAATATTTTTAGTCGTTTTGAACCATTAGTAAGTAATTTTGCAAAATCCAGACTTCAAGATTTCATGAGGAAAATAGCTCATGATTTTGGCCATTTTTAATTATTTCGATCTCTTGGCAAATAATTTCATAGAGACAAATATTCATGATTTCGTGAGCTATAACTCATATTTTTTGCTATTTTTAGTTGATTCAACACGTTAGCAAATAATTTTTCAGAGGTTAAAATTCTCGATTTTATAAGCTATAATCCACAATTTTTAGCAATTTTTAGTCATTTTGATCCATCAACAAATAATTTTGTGGATGCTAAAATTCACAGTTTCAAGAACTATAACCCATTAATTTTGGCCATTTTTTATTTCGACCCATTATTCAAAAAAATCCTTGAAGCTAAGATTCACGATTTGATGAGCTATGACCCATGATTTCTAGCCATTTTTAGTTAATTCGAGTCGTTGTCAAATAATTTTACCGGTAGCAAAATTCACGATGTCATGATTTATAACCCATGAATTTTGACAATTTTTATCATTTAGACCTATTGGCAAATAATTCCTCGACAGGCGAAATTCATGATTTGTGAGCTATGACCCATGATTTTTTGCCCCCTTTTGTTGTTTCGAGCCTTTATCAAATAATTTTGCGGAGGCCTAAATTCATAATTTTGTGAGCTATAACCTATATTTTTTGGATATTTTCTGTCATTCTGACCCATTGTCAAATAGTTTTGTGGTGGCAAAAATTCACAATTCACTTTGCTATAACTCACAATTTTCAGTCATTTTTAATCATTTTCGCGATGACTAAAATTCACGATTTTATAAGCTATAATAACCAATGATTTGTTTTCATTTTTAGGTGTTTCGAACGAATTGCAAATAATTTTGTGGAGACTAAAATTCAGGATTCATGAGTTATAACCTTTAACTTTTAGCCTTGTTAAATCGTTTTGACCCATTAGCAAACAATTTCGTATAGGAAAAAATTTATGATTTCATGAATTATTTCCCATGATTAAACCCATGATTTTCGGTCATTTTTAGTCATCTTTGACCATTGTCAAATAATTTCGAGGTGGGAAAAATTCTGAATGAACATAAACAATAGCGTCCGCTTTCCCTCAACTTATACTGGTCCAAAGTTAGGGAGTGGTTTTCCGATATTTAGCCAAAACCAGAAACAGTTTTAAAAGCGGAGGAAAAAAAACATAATTGGGCTGGGCCTCTCACCATAATCGAGCCCATACAAGAACTTCGATGCTTCCAACTAGTTTTGTACCAATTCGCGCTTTCCTGATCTAGGGTTTTTGTCCAGGGTTTTGCTAACAAAATTAAAAATCCCCAAATTTCTCCCCAAACTCAGAGAAATCAATGGAGGGCTTGGAGGCCGCGGATGCGGATCTCACTGTCTACGTCCACCCATCGAAGGCGAACAAGGTTCTCCACGCCGTTTCTCGCCAGCTCAGCTCTCTCCTCTTCACGTTAAGCCCCATTTCTTCCTCTTATATCTATTTGTTTCTCCAAAGATATAATTTTTATTGATAAAGCTTCAAGCTTGTGATTTTGTAAGGACTAGACGAAAGGAATTTCTGGGTTCTTTGAAAAAGATGGAAACTTTCCATCTTTCAATTGAAAACGAGTATCTTTTTAATAAAATCAGTATACTAGTATATAATACGTATAATTTGTGTGGATCATAATTAAGAATGCTGTGTGGTTTTATCATTTTAATAACAAATTTTGTATCTTAAAATCTTAGCATATGGTTATTCTAACGTGTGAAGAGTTTTTCTCCAGATACGACGATAACTTTGATGGTATACTACTGTCATTTGACTACCATATTCAACACAGAAAAGCAAAGATTCTTCCTGGTTTGATCCCATATTTTGGAGTGCAATTGAAAGCTAAATTGCTCCTATTCTCTCCAAAGCCTGACATGTTATTAGGTGTGTTTTCTTGTTTTCCGGGATTATATGTTATGCGAGAAAGAGATTGCTTCTTCTATGAGTATGTGAAAGTAGTATCTTCATATTCTGATATCAAAAGCTTTGGAAGGGTATCTGGATTTGGTAATCTAGTTGAATGCAACCTTGTGTACTGACTTTTTGGTGGAACCAATGAGTTTTCATTTGCTCTCATATGTTGACAGTTCCTCCCCCTTTCCTCCATGAGAGTATTTTTTTTGGTCAATGAAATATTTTATTCATTCAACCATATGAAAATTTTTGTACATCATGATTCTCATAACAGGAGAAAACCTATATATTTGACAGATATACTAAAAAAAAATCACTCACACTCCAAAAATCTATTTACAGTGATAAAACCCATTCTCTATTTTCCGGAGCAGTAGAGCCATTGAGAATTAGTATCAACATATCAACTTTGATCTCCTTAACTAGTTGATCAGCCCCTTTGGATTTCTGAACAAAAATCCTAGAGTTTCTTTCATTCCATATCTTGTATAATGAAGCATTAAAGGCCATCCTCTTAATCTTTTGCTTAAAACCCTTGCCTCTCAAACAAGTAGAGTACCATTCCAACATACAATTCCAATTGCAGGAACGCCATCTGAATTTGAGCCATGACATGATCTTGTTCCAGACATTCACAGAGTATTCACATTCAAAGAAGAGATGGTCGCGGCTCTCTATTGCATCACCATTTCATAGATAACATGAATTTGCATTCAGTATCCCCAATCCCCATCATAGACAACCTGTCGTGTGTTAACAATCTGCTTTGAACAGCAAGCCAACTTATGATAGAGTGTTTAGGGTAATTCAAACTTTCCCAAACAGTATTATACCATGGAACTTTGAGGGAAGTTGGAGATAAAGCTGTATACAAAGCTGATGGTTTAACTTTAGAATTCTTATAGCAAGATCAATGATAAGCTTCAGGTTATCAACCCCTTGAGTTAAAGCCAAGGCCTTATCCCTGATTTTCAGCATTTGTCTCTAAAGCCATGAATCATTTGCTTTAGCATTGACAGTCCATATATCAACTGTGCTTTAGATAAGTACCATGGATCCACTTGATCCATAGGACTCTTTATTCACATGAATATACCAGATATTCTTCAAACCAGCAGCAAAATTCCAGAGTTTAGCAGAGAATATGCCTAAGCCACCAAATTTTTTCCCCTGACAGATTTTCTCCCATGCTACCAGAGAAAACTTTTGCTTATGATCAGTTCTTCCCCACAAAAAATCCCTATTCATTTCATCAATTCTCTGGAGAACTTTCATGGGCAGAATGTAGCTAGATGTCCAGTAAATTTGGACACCTAAAATCACACTTTTTATAACTTGTATTATGCCTGCATAGGAGAGGTTCCTGGAAGACTATTTTTGAAATTGATTGCTAATCCTGTTGAGCAGAGGATTACAGTCCATATAGGAAAGCCTTTTACATATAAGAGGGACTCCAAGATATTTGATAGGGAGAGTGCCTTCAGTGAAACCCAACAAGTCATTTATAGAAGCCTTAACCCTTTCATTCACACCCCCAAAGAAGATATGACATTTATTAGGATTAGCCTCAAGTCCAGAAGTTGCACTGAAATCTTGTAGACACTGCTGAAGCTTTTTAACTGATACCAGATCTCCCTTGCTAAAGAGTAATAGATCATCAGCAAAAATAAGATGAGTTATCTTGAGCCTTTTACATTTCGGATGGAATTTGAATTGTTTGTCATTGCTCAATAAATCCAAACTTCTAGAGAGATAATCCATGCCCAAGATAAAGAGATATGGGGATAAAGGGTCTCCCTGTCTCAGTCCCCTCTTGCCTTTGAAATATCCATGGAGTGATCCATTTAAAGAAATGGAATAAGAAGGGGAAGAAATACATGTCATAATCCAGTCTACCATCTTATTTGGGAAACCCAAACCAATTAGCAAATCTCTCATAAAATTCCAGTTGATGGTGTCAAATGCTTTTTTGATATCAATACTAAGCATTACTCTAGGGGAGATACATTTCCTGCTGTAATTCTTAATCAATTCATGTGCAAGAAGAATACTATTAGTGATTTATCTTCCCTCCACAAATGCACTTTGAGCTCCATTGACAAGAACCCCCATAACTGGTTTTATTCTATTCACCAAGATTTTTGAAATGATTTTATAAAGGACATTGCAGCAAGATATAGGCCTAAATTCAGATGGAGAAGTAGGACAGTTAACTTTTGGAATGAGTGAAATGACAGTAGAATTAACCATAGCTAACAGTTTCCCAGTTTTGAAGAATTCCCCTATAGCTTGAATAACTTCATCTCCAACAATGCTCCAGGCAGACTTGAATAACTTCATCTCCATGAGAGTATTTCAAGCAACATTGGCATTGTCAAATAAGTCTCATATGTATTAGTTAAGCATGTTAACCAATGATCGCAATACATAAAGTTTGAACCAGGTTATGCATAAAATTACAGCCTAGGAGCTGAATCTAAACATTTATGAACAAACAAAATATGCAACCACCTAAAAACCAGCTAACCAGTATTATAGAAATCCAGATGCACGAGGTGATATGTGGGTGACTTTTGTATTTACACTTCATGTTGTAATGCTTATTGAGTTGGGTTGTGCCCGTTACAGCTGATTCTTGATGGATTTCATGGTTGGTGTTACATAGCCCATCAGAATATGGAAGGCCTGTTTAATATGGAAATTTTCAAAGTTGTGCTAATGAATTAAAAGTTGTACAATATGGTCACCAGTTCTTTAATGAATAATGAGTGTGCGCATTTCGTGCATCATCTCAGGCATAGGAACTTGTGACCAAAATGGTGGCTGAAGCATTTATTTTCTTTTCTTTTTTATTATGAAATGTCATATTGGGTTGTAAAATTTTTTGTAACTGGCTTTTAAAACAATATTCATATGTTTAATCATCTTTTATTAATGTTCAATGTTTGGAAACTGAGCTAACTTTTTTTTAGAGTCCATCCTCCCATCTTCCTGCTTTAGTTTTCTCACATCGTTCATTTTCTCAATCTGCAATACATTCTTTCACGAGAATGTTTGGTCTTGGTGGCACTTCCCCTATGACTAGAAACCAACAACCTTTTTTGAAGAATTTATCTAACAGATCAGGAAGAAGGTTAAAGCATTGTTTTTAGTCATTTCCAATTTTAAATATGTGACTTCAATTTGGTCTTTAGAGTGCGCACTACCTCTTTAACAGTAGCTGTCCAGTGTTTGCTCCTCAGTCCTCACCTTCCTACAAACTTTCTAGCTTTATACTACTGAGGCTTCTGATATTCGTGGAAGCAATCTTGCATGCTGTACGTACTGTTTTGACTCAATAATTAGTGTTTATTGATCCATAATTATACTGCTCACATTATCTTTTGGTTTTCTTTTATTATTTTTTAGAGGGTTGGGGGTTGTTTCATTTCTTTAAATTTTGACACGAGAAGATCAAAGTTTTGATGACTAAACTGTGCATTCTTACTACAGAAGGGAAAGTTGTTAAGGTGGGAAAGGAATCCATTCATGTAATTGTCCTCGGATTTTGCTCAGCTGCCATAATGTCAGAAGATATTCGAGGTGAATTCAAGTACAAAATTGTAAGTATCAATACTTTTCTTTCACCTTACATTGAATAAATATGTTATCATTATCAATAATATTTTCCTGGATGTTATATTTTTCTCCAGAAACATGGGAGAAGTGTTTTTTCAAGCAAACTGCATAAGCGACATGTTATCAAGGATGGTAGCATAATCCGATTCTTAGTAAAAAGGTGAGATCAAATAGATGAGAAGTATGCTTTGTTTTATTTACTGATGTTTAATGCTGAAGATCATTCTATTCCATGATAGTTGTGTTAGTCTTTGCTAAAAGTTTCAAATTTTAACACGTTAAAATAGTTTTATTTTTTATTTTTAAGGCTATGACTATCTGTTTTGTGACTCTTTAGGAAGATGATTATGAATGCTGTTGACTTCTAATATTCTCAATTTTGAGTTGTATATAATATTTATTTGGTAGTGAATGTCATTATTTCCAATTTTTTGGCGAACGTCGCATATTCTTTAATTCATTGCTATCCACAGACAAAACAATGATCGTTGAGTCAAGCGTCCATTATGTATAGTGAAATATGTTAGTTGGATTATACTATCTTTCATAGGATGATGTCATGTTATTATATTCTATAACCAGATAAGTTTTCTTATATTTTATAACTAGTGTCAATGTTAAGGAGTGACATTCTATGCCGATGAATATTGAAAGTGTTCTCTTAATGATGTTAACTTCATTTTGCTCTTTTTAGCATCTCAATTTGTTTCTAATGACTTTGGTAATAGAGTGAAGTAGAAAACCAAAATACCTGGCGCATGGCATTTAAATGTGGTTGAACCTCAGAGTAGACTGATGCTGACCTTTTTTGTGCAGCTTGGACGAAGAAATACTCCACATATCCGGGTCCTTAATTCCTGCCCATACTGGATGCTTATATTGGTTAGCCAAACATGCAACAGAAGATGGTCCACAGGTTGATAGGTCTGTTCCTTTTTACACCTTTATTTAATATCAATGTCCATGTCTTAGACATTTTTCTAGTGAGGAATTTTACATACACAATGTCAAATTGGAAATGTTGACCTTCTCCTTCAGTCATTGTATAATTAATTGATTAGCACAGCTTTTCTCTTACTGGTATTTTGGGTAGAAATTATACTTATAAGATGTTTTTCAATGAGAAAATTTTCTATGAAGGAAATTGATCTATTTTTCCTTCTTGAATCCTAATTGTTGTATGGATCTGTGTCCTGTGTGTGTCATGAAGGCTATGTAAGAACCAACAGCAGAAGCAACAAGAACACCAGAAGGCATTTAACGTGAATTCTGGGATTCATCTGCGTGAACTTCTTTTCCATTATTCTTATTAGAGTCCTGCTCTTATTAAATTATTAGTTCAAGATCTTTTTAACTGCCCTTATTCATGTTTGTTTTGGACTTCCTGTAGTTCGAGCTTCTCTTTCAGCTGTTATTTTATCCCTCAAGAACTAACAGACTTATAATATCCTTTGTGCCTATGAGAATAGCAGTCACTTACTCACTGTCTTATGCTTGATTGAAGTTACTTCTGACTCCTACGTAAATACTCATTTTCATTTGCTCTCATCGTAGTGCTTCTCATAGATCTCTCAACATTCTCCTGGGCTCTGCTTACTTTCAGACATGTTTCTTTTTTTAATTGTATATCTGTATAGGATTTATGATTATGTAGCTAATTTATATAAAATTTTTGCCTTTTAAATTCAAGCTTGTTGAAACTCCAGGAGCATAGCTAAACATTCTTGTGTGTTTTCTTTGATGTTATACACAACATCTCCCTCAATCTCATGATTACGTGAGGGATTATCTTGGATAAAGTAAAGCTTCTACTTTGAGCCATCATGTTGAGCTGATTCTTAGAAAATTGCAGAAGCTTGAAGAGGTATAGACAGAGGGATGCTAAGAAGGAAGTAGAAGATCAGCACTCTGACTTATCAATTGATGTCAATCATTCATTGGATAACAGACGTCCGCATAAGTCTAGGAAGAGGAATGTTGAAGACTGATTAAAGTTATACGCGTCTTACATGCAGGTAATTTGTCATCTTTGTAGACATCTTTTTACTATTAATTTTTTCCTTTATGTGAATAATTCTTCAACTATAACATATACCAAACGGATTAGATTGATATATTTATATTGTTTGGGTAATTTCAGAGGCCATACCTCCACAAAAATTCAGGAAGAGGAGTGTTGAAAATTGGTTGAAGTTCTGCGCTTGTCTCACTTGCGTTATATGTCACCTACTCCGATTTTTGTTATTGTTAAAAAGGTTTTAAATATGAATAGTTCCTCACCAGCGCTAGTGGACTAGATCTATACATTTGTTTTAAAATTCAAAAGACCATGCAGTTGGGTGTTTCTATTTGGCGAAAGCTAAAGTTACCCCTACATTGGTAGAGAAAGACAATTCAATAGAAATATAAAACTTAAGGCGATCCCGTTTTTCTGCATTATACCTTTCATTCATGTGACAGCCCTATCTGATTATTTTACTGTTTTCTTTGACACTTTGCAGATTAACATTTAACGTATGCGGTCATAGCATTTGACAGTTCAATACCATGAGTTAAGAGTTGTGCGTTGTTTTCTTTAGTTTCCATATGGTAAGAGTTCTGTGCTTCTGAATTGGAGAACATCAATAGGTCTGAAAAATAAGGTATATTCCCAATGAATGCAACCAAGATATGTACATATGTAGTTAACTTTCATTGCTGCTGATAGGACAGTAGTTCAAACATTTCTCAAATACCATATTTTTCGAAGAAAACATTGGAAATATTTGCTAGTTCATGCCTCATGGTAACACATACCACATATTTATACTTTGTACTTGATAGATGAAATACATAATATAGACACTTTTCTCGTAAATTGAATTAGCTTTTTTCTGTTGATATGCTGTCCTGATTTAGCAGCCAGCAGCACATTTCGTCTTCCACGACGTCCTGATTCCCAGTGGTTCTGGGCTCCTGTTTTCCTTTTGAGATGGAGCAAAGCTCCATTAGAGAGTGTATTAGTGTTGTTAATTTAATGAACAACTTACAAGTTACTACTACGCCAGTCTCAGTATTAGTTTCAATCCAAAACATAACCTTCTGAATGAGCAGCAAAACCTCAAATTAGAAGAAATAATCAACAGAGCAGAAAATCAAACTAATGGGCATGTAGACTTGGCAACGAGAGCCTTTGGATTCCACACCTTCAATAACCGTTGCCATTATTGATATTCATATGACACGGCCATCAGGAAAGCAGTTATCTTATTATTAGCATCAACCCACCAGCTTTCTAAGGAGAAGTACCTCTTACAAATATAATTTTGACTAACTGCATCAACTTTCCTTTTCTTTGGGAGAGCAAAATGACATGCCCGAATTTTTTAATTTGGATCTATGTTGACTACTTGGAGTCATCTGACCTTACTATTTCTTCTCTTTTTCTTCATTTTTTGCAGGCTTAGGTCTAGTCTGCTCCATTATTGATTTGATCTGGGACTTGCAATTCTTGTACTAAGATTACCATTGAAAGCCTTCCGCTGGTTTAGTGGCGCGCGAGGTTAAGATATGGTAGTTTTTTCAGGCGAGAGATGGAAACGCCACTCTGGATTTTGAACTTATGTTGAATCATCATAAGAATGTATTACAATGTAAAATATGAAGAGTTACTAACTAGGGCGTTTTTGCCGTTTAAGTTTTTTTTCCAAAAAAAACAGAACATGTTTGATGAATGTGGTGTTTTTTTTACCTGACCCATTAAAAATTCTAAAAATAAACACTTTTCTCAAAACACCAAAAATGTGTTTTAAGTTCCGGTGACTTCTTTTTTCACCCAAGCTGATCCCCCCCCAACCCTAATAGATCGTCGTCGCTGTTGCTTCCACATCGCTAGCACTCTTTTCTCTCTCCCTCTTTCGCGTTTTCTCCTCTTCTTTCACCGCCGAAGTTCAAAACCTGACCCCCTCTTCTTCGATCGCTGGAGCCGGAGCCCCTCCTCATCTGATCTCCATCGCCGGAACCCCTACTCTTCTCCTCCCCAGCTCTCTCTCCTCCCCAAACAATACCCTAGCCCAAACCCTAACTTGTTTGTCCTCCCTAAATACTCACCTCTGAGCATCTTCAATTCAGTTAAATTTATAGTTTTTCGATTTTTTTAGTTTAATTTCTGTTATTAAATCTCTGCTTTGTCAATTTTTATACATTTTTGTTGAATTGCATCTGAGCTCTGCAAAGGACAATATTTCAATTTCAAATTTTATAGTTCCCATGAACATAATGATATATGATCAACACGTGTTTGAAACTTTCAAAATAGTGTTTTCAAAACATTTTTGAAAAAAAAATACCATGACATGATGTTTTTCTACAAAAACATAACAAGAAAATCACTTTGATTACCAAACATACCCAATTATTACGAAATGTGTATGTTTTAAGAGCCCATTGTGCTTAAGAGAGGTGTTATGGAGGCATTACTGGATGCTATGAGAAGATATGAACTTATTTGTGTAACCACATGTTGGGAATATATTTAGTGAATATGTTGACGCATCAGTTTATGTATCTGATTTTATCAGGGCTCATGTGGACATACTCTTTTTTATGGCAATGTTGACATATTTGTTGCGACATTCGGAGAGGTATAGAACCATAAAAGGTAGGTATTATTTTCTGAGATTTTATTAAAAAAAAAGGAAAATATTCATAGCCGAAAGAAAAGTTTCTGTGCGGTTTATCAGGCAGGGGCCTAACGGAAATTTTTCTGGTCAACAAAGCCTCCTTATGCAAATCTAGTCAAACAAAGGGTCTAAACGACAAATACCCTAAAAAGGTTCCTTTCAAAGTTTGACTAAGATAAGATATGACAAAGATATTGAAAGCTAATTTTGAAAGTCAAAACTCCTACATGCTGACGACCATGCGTCAAACTAACTTTGTTTTCGTTATCCTTATTACCTACACGTGTGGATTTGATGGTGTCTTCGTTTTGAAGTTGATAAATCACAACAATATTTATTTAAAAAAAATCACAACAATAATCTTTTACCCATGTATAATGGTTAGAATTTCAACTAAAAGACTCAGTCTGGTCATGGGGCTGACCGGGAGTGACAAATTCAGAAATTTTTTTTATAGGGACGGAAGATGATAAGTAACTATTTATCTAAAAATTAAAATATAATATTATGAAAAGTATTTTTGATAAATTGTTAAATTTACAATTCAAATAGTTAAAACTCAAATAGGGTGTGTTATAGTGTTTTAGTGCTGAAAAGTAATCTCCAATCAATAGCAGACAAGTGTCCCACATTATGCGTAATCGAGCCAGCACTTCAAAATAACCTAAGACCCAGCTCAGACGACTCAACACGCCGACATCCCGTGAGGATGACTCAAATGGCGTTACATGTCGACCCCTAGTTAGGTCGACTCCCTGATCGACCTACTCGACCGGTCATTTAGCCGACATCTTGCGAAGATGACTCAAAGTGCGGTACTTCTCGACCACCGAACGAGTAGAAATGTGACGAAATACCTCGAGCCTCGAGCCTCGAGCCCCTTCCCGCGCGCTGATAGCTGATCACATCACAATAAATCCCATTAAATGCATAACCAACCCTATCACTTGACTCCCAATAGTCTTTAAAACACATCGGACCACGTCGACACTGTACGCCTCTAATCACTTTTCCTCCACTCGTTCGGCCGACACCTGTAAAGCAGATGCTGATGTGACCGCCAATTCATACTTGGCCAAAGTTATCATTCTACCATTTTACTGTCACAACAAATAGAGGTGCTATTTTTAACATGAGGGTAAGATCTGAATCTCTACCCACTGTGCTTAAGAACTATTACGGTTCACTTAGTTCTCCACTCAAGCAAATCATTGACTTGATCATCGGAGGAACAACCGGGGAACCTAACCCCACCCTCTTACGATTTTCTACTTGTGCAGGGAAGAACATCACACCTCAGAACTACACATTCGGAGGGTTAGAGGACATTCGTCAACTTAATCACTTCTTTCAATATTGACTGTTTGATATCAGCCATCAATAGGGTGCAAACTATAAGTTTACTATACTTTAAAATGTAATTAATTTGCATAATCTTAGGAGTGCAGCTATACGGCTAAAGTTATATATGCATCTGCTCATACTGACCAAATACATTGTGTATTTCACTCAACTTTTTTTTATATCCATCTTCGTCTATGTAAATTTTGCAATTTTTCTAAATCAAAGAATGTAGATATTGTTATATTTATCTCTCCTCCCTCAGTCTCTTGATTAACAACCATCATCAGGAAGTGTATGTGTAAAAAATGTTGGAACGGGAAGGAAGTGTATGTGTAAAATAATTGAGAGGGGGATGAATAGGATTGCTATAAATGTTTTTGGATAAACTCAGAATATACAGCGAAAAATAAAATCTATACTACTTATAAAAGAGAATACTAATGTTAAAACTTTTGATTTCCCATTTTACCCTCTCAATTATTTATCTCTCACAATTATACCATTATTTATAAAACTAATGATTCATAACCTCTCATTAACTATGCACCTCTTTATTTTCTCAAATTATTTAGTCATTCACTGTGATATATTAAATATTTGATAATTTATTATAAATAATTATTAATTATATAAAATAGTAAAAGTCATTCATTTAATAAATTAGTGCACATAATTATGATTATTAATAATAATATAAATAGGGGTTGCTTTATGTTGTAAAGAATATTATAATTAATATCATCTTAGTAATAAAAATTTTTGGATGTTATAAATTAAAAAAATATTTTAAAAATAATTTATATAAAAATATTAGATCCATGAAATTTACGAGACATATACTTTTCTCTTCTTTTCCCCAAAATATTTGGTCACTCGCTAGAATATATTAATAATATATAATAATAATAAAGTTAATAAATATTATAACTTATTATAAAAGAATTATTATTTGTAATGAAATAGTGAAATTGTTTATTTAATAAAATATTGTACATAACTATAATTATTAATAATAGTATAAATAGGGGTTGATTCTGTATATTGTAAGGAATATCAATGTTTTCGATATTATAATATCATCTTAGTAATAAAATTAAATTGGACATTATGAATTAAAAATACTTTTATTTAGAAAAATTACTTTATATAAAAATATTAGATTTTTGAAATCTATGAGTCATTCACTTCTTGTTGGAAAGTAAATGCCTCAAAAATTTCAAGGATCCAATATTTTTATATAAGTACTTTTCCTAAGTAATAGTATTTTTAATTTATACCATCCAATTTTTTATTACTAATATGATATTAATTATCGAGCAAGGTAATATTCTTTACAACATAAAGTCATATAATATTTAAAAACTATTGCCATTATTTAATAGATATTATAATAAAATATGTTCATAACATAAATATTTAATAATATAAATTGTTTAATTATATCAATAGCGTTACTTAAACTAATGATTGCATTATTATTTAATAATTATACTCCTAAATAAATTGTTTAATAATATAATAATAAGATAATTTAAATAACTATTAAATATATGTTAATAATAGTATAAGTATTAATTATAGTATAACTAAATTTTTTTAATCATAGTGCAATACTTTGTAAAATATTTATATATAATTTATTAAATAATATAATATTAAATACAACAATATGTCCACGTGCAAAACATGTACATTATACTAGTACGGAAAAGTAAGAGCAACCAACACAGGAGCATACATGATTTTTATAGTGGTTCGGATCAGAATCCTACGTCCACTCTTTCTTCTTATGATGAGCCTTGTTCATTATGACCGGTCATATCCCTGAATTACAATTTGATTCAGTGGGCTTTACAAACAGGAATATGGAATCTACGGAAAACCAGTCGAGATACGCAACTCCTCACAATGACCAGAAGAAACCTAGTGCTAACTAGCCACACTCAATTACTCTGGCTTGAGCATGCCAATCCTTAATTACCCCGACTTGAGTACGCCGATATACTCGCAAATTTGAAATATAAGACCAACCCTAAAAAAATTAAAACACAACCGAAAAGATCTTAAAGCCCTTTTAAAAATTAATCGTTCTTCAAACTGATGTCGATGATGATCCATTAAGAAGCGATGTTGAAGTTGAACGGAAAGGGCAATCGTCCTCGTTGAAATGATCTTATGATGTTAAACGCGACGAGAAGAAGTTGAACGAGGCTAAGGGAATCAAATTCTCACACTTCAACTCTCTCAAACCCAAGAATTTGATCTCTCAATCTTATAAAAATATCTTCTCTTTTTCTTATTGTTAATTTCTTTCTCAATCCCTCTTTAAATAGACCTTGATTGCATTGGAAAAAGTTCTCTGATCAGTGTTAAAGTAGGAGATCAAATTTATCATCTAACAGCTAAGATAAAATCATGAAATCTACCAAAATGCGTCCAAACCATTGATGGTTAAACACGATCTTTGATGGCTAATGTCAATCATTGATGGTTCCCTGTAGTCTATTGATTGTTTAAATTCTGATTTCTAAAAATTACAAATTGTTTATTATAGTCCCATCAACGGTTGAAGTGATCATCGATGGCTGACTGTAGTCCATTGATAGTTCGACTTCTCATTTCTGGAAAATATAGATTGTTGATTACAGTTCATCGATAACATGTCGTTCATCAATGGTTGCCCCGTGACCATCGATGGTTAAAGGCTAAAATCTACTTCTCATG